AGATGGAACCCGGAGGAGGCCTAATCTATGGGATCTAATGGGCCTTTGGGAGGTAATTGGTAGCAGGCAGTCTCTCAAGTACCCCTGCTTCTGGCAACGGGAGAAATCCAACATTTAATATGAATGATGGTATCTTCTTTTAATCAAGTCTGGGTTATCCTTGCTTAATGGCAAATCATCTTTCTTCTTCTTCAGGATCTAAAAAGGGACATGCCAATTTACTTAAATAAAATGGATCAAATGTTTTAAAAGATAGATGCTGATTCAACTGTGTACCATCTCATTAGCTGGTCACATCAAGCTTCAAAATCCAATAGAGACATGTTGAGTTTCTTCTAAGCACTCTCTCTTGTATTGTTCCTCACCTATAGACAAAAATCTTGCCCATACATAAAGCAACTACTTGCATACTAAAGATATAATCTGTGAACTTCTAGGAAGGAGCTGTCCTAAATTTCTTTTGCCCAATCAAACTTCTTGCACCTCTGAAATGTGGCCCCTCCCTCCTGGGAATCCAGACTACACTCCATCACAGGCCTGTAATAAATACTTCTGATCTGCCCATCCAATTATGTCATCCTCTACAGAAGAGGAAAGAAGAGGGAAAGAAGAAAGGGTAAAGGAGAGGAAGGGAGGGGGGGTAATAAGAGTAGGAGAGAGGGCAGGAAGGGGAGGTTGAGGGGAGGAGTAGGGGAAACGAAGGGGAAGAATAAAAAAGAGAGGAGAGGAGGAAAGAAGAAAGTAGAGAAGAAGGGAGGGTATGAGAAAGAGAGAGAGAAGAAGAAGTAGGGCTGTTGTAATACAAGATGGATGGATGGGATGGCAGGAAAGCAATCTCGAATATACCATTATATCCTTAGGGGAAGAATGGAATCATAAATGTTAAAGGATAACATATAATAGTAATCATATCTATTAGAAATGTATATTTGTGAATGTATGTATGAGAAATTTAAAAAAAACACATTTTTTCAATTATATCTTCCTCTAAACCAAGCTTGAATTCCAGGGATATTTCATTCATTCATAAGGTGCTTTGCTAACACCTATAGCCATTGGTGCCCACAGAGAAGGTCAAAAAATGCAATCTGCCCAACGTGGTGCCATGATGCAAATCCTCTCCTCCCCCTTTGTACATAGGTCAAAAGGACAGGACTTGAATTATGAGGCACATCTGCCCTCTGGCTTCTTTTGACCCCTACTAGCAGGTGGTGTGGCTAATGCTCAAACCTA